ATTTATTTATTTTTTTAATAATTATTTTGTTTAACTTTATTTACTATTATTATTTTCCAGTTCGATCAGAGAGAGACAGAGACGGAAAGCGAGAAAGCAAGCTGCCAGGTCCAGGATTTGTACCATGGTCGTCCATGTGGGAGTCCAGCACCCTCAATTACCATGCCACTTGCTGACCCTTAACTAAAATGATTTTTTAAAATATATAATTTAATTTAATTTATTATTTTAATATTTTCAAACACAGAGAGAGAGGGAAAGTGAGAAAGCAAGCCTCAGGTCCAGGACTCAAACCACGGCCAGTCATGTGGGAGTCCAGTGCCCTTAACCACCATGCTACCTGCTGGCCCCAGTAAGAGAATTAAAACAAAACAAAACAAAACAAAAAACCATGTAAACCAAGAGCCTGGCCTGCTCACTTCAAATCCCAGCCCTCCCGTTTGTTGCTGCGTGACCTTGGGCAGATTGCTTTACTTCACCCTGTGGTGGATATGGGGATTGAGTCTGTACACAAGGAAGGACTTAGAACACGGCCCGAGGCGCGATAAACGAGAGCTGTTTACGAAACTGTGCTAGCCACGTGACCTGCAGTATCTCTAAATCCTACATGAACCTTCGAGGTAGCTGTCTCACTACTCCCCGTTTTACACAGGGTGGAGTGAAAGCCCGGAACAGGTCAATGGCTGACGTCACAAAGACATCAGAGCTGGGATCTGAACTTGTGATCTGAAGGTCAGAGCAAGCAGTGGCCCTAACCAGCTGCAACCAGGGTGGTTCCTGTGTCCCGTTGGGGGGTGGGGGAGCACTACTCTGTGCCAGGCGCTTTCCAGTCACCCCCGTTCTTCCCCAGAGGCTGTGATGGGGTGACTGGTAAACGTTGAACAAATGCCCCTCTGGGGGAGGGGTGGGGAGAGAGCCCTGATCCGTAGCGTTTGCCAATGTCCCTGGTGTAAATACTCCCACCGTGGCTCAGTTCGGGCTACCAGCGTGAAGTGGCTTGATGTGGAGTCGGGGAGGGACGCTCACAGTTGGCTCTGGCTAGCTGTTAGAGCTGCTGGCTCTGGCACACCATGGACTGGGCGTGACCAGTAAGGCAACAGGGCTTCAGAGCTGGAGTCAGAGGGCCTTTCCTGAGGAGGCTGCTGGTGAAGGGAGGGGGATAGAAGAAGGTGGGGGGAGAGAAATGCAAGGGCCTCACCTCCCTCTCTGTGGACTCCTCCCCTTGGAGCACAGGGGAAGGGGAGTCAGGCTCAGTGTGGGGGGGTGGCTTCTGGGGGCCACCCAGTCCTGCCAGTGTGTCTTCTACCATCCACAGCTGCTGCTGTGCAGACGCTCTGTCCTGGGGAGAAGAGAGGAATCTGTTACTCAAAGGAAGGGAAATGCAGGGCCAGGTGGTTTTATTGTAGTGGTAATGCAACTAGACAGCTGGGGAAGGTCCTGGGTTCATGTCCCGAGACCTCCTGGAATACACCAGGCAGGTGCATTTGCTGTGGTCTGGACCGGCTGAGACTGCTGGATTGTAGTGTGAGGGCCCTGCTGGGGAAACTCTCTCTTTCTCAAAAGAAATGATGTAGCTTGGGAACCAGCAGTTAGCGTAATGGCTATGTCGCTGGACTCCCACGTAGTCGACCGCAGTTTGCGTCCTGGACCCGGTGGCTTAAAACTCACACCGGGCGCATGTGCTTGCGTGCCCAAGATCCTGAGAGGAGAATGGAGGAGAAGGGATTGCGGCGTGACAATCCCCCCTGGGGGGTGATTTCTCGCTTTCTGTCTCTATGTCTCTCTCTGTCTGTCTGGTGAGCACAGGCGCCCTATAGCAAAAACCCCCCCAAAAAAAAAAAAAAAAAAAAAAAAAAAAAAAAGAAAGAAAGAAGGAAAAGAAAAAAAAGAAAGAAATGATGTAGCCAGCAGATGTAGTAGTAGTAGTGGTTACGTTGTTGCTGAACTCCCACATGGCTGACCACAGTATTCTTAAACATAAAAGAGAGTTTATCTGAGGACCAGTTTTTTTTTTTTTTTTGGTAGATGTTTTTGCCTTAGAGTGTATGCACTCACCGAGGAGAGAGACAGAGACACTGAGAGGAAAAGTGAGAAATCACCCGCCAGGGGGATGGCCACGCTGCAATCTCTCTCTCTTTTTTTTTTTTTTTTTTTTTGAGAGGTTTTTGCTATAGGGCGCGTGCGCTCGCCAGACAGAGAGAGAGAGACAGAGAGACAGAAAGCGAGAAATCACCCCCCAGGGGGGGTGGTCACGCCGCAATCCCTTCTCCTCCATTCTCCTCTCGGGATCTTGGGCTCTCCACGTCTCCGGGTGTTCAATGTCTCTCAGCGACGCTCCATGCTTTCCTGAGTAGATGCCTTGCAGAGCCTCCGCTGGATTTATTCCCAGCTGTTTAATTGTTTATGTTATTACAAACATTGTTGTGTTAAAATATTCATTTTCTGA